TCTGTGTGTTCGCACTTTTTGTCACCCACTTTCAACTCGAGAACCAGAAAAGCTAGAAGACTGAAAATTTGAGGATATGTGCCTATATCGTGCGCGGCCCTCCCATTTTAATTTCACCCCCCGCGGACACCTAGGTGCCGCATACGGACGCTTTAAAAAAATATGCAGTTTTTTTGGCGGGAAAGCTATCTTGGGAACCACACGAGCTAAGGAGCTGAAACTTTGTAGGGATACTCCCTGTGCATGTACTAGCTAAAGATTTTTTTTTTTTTTGGGGAAATATTCACTATCCAAGTACAACTCAAATGTTGTACTGATATTCACTATCCAAGTACAACTCAAATGTTGTACTTGGATAGTGAATATTTCCCTAAAATTTTAAGGGGATATTCCCTGTCCAAGTGCAATTTTAAAATTTCAGATTCAGCTTTCCAGACACGTGGAGTACCCACGTACGGGCATGTGAAGGTTTTGGCGGGAAATTCGCTAACTCGGTAATCAGAAAAGCTGGAATGCTGAAATTTTGAGAGGACGTTCCCTGTCCAAGTACAATTTAAGTGTTTCAGATTCAGCTTGAGGTATGCGTGGTTCTTTCGTACGATCACTTAAAAGTCTTGGCGAAAAAATTTCTTACTGAACAACTCGGTTACTTTTAAAGAACGACTGTTAAGTGGAAATTGTACATTTACTTTGCAAAAATTATGGTGATTTATGCTTGTGACCGCAACAGGTAGGTGTAAAGCAAAGCCATTCATGCAGTCCGTGACCTGAGTACTTCAAATCCGATGCAAAAACGCATGATCGCACGGGCCCGCCCAGTACGTTCCAGCCTGAGTTATGTGCATGGTTGTGTATGGTAATTTTTATCATATTTACATGGTTGCGTACATGATTTTTATGCGTTTCTGCATTTTATGCGAACGCATATTGTCCAGAGCTTGTCTCTGTGTGTATCTGTTTCTATACGTACATGTATTATTTATGTGCGTGATTCAGAGGCGAGGGAACTTTATCATCCATTTCAACTCGGTGTTTTCTTCCCGTCCTTTTTTCGTGTATTACTAGTTCTGTATATCTGTCTTATTTCTTTAATATTATCCACTGCTAGTTACTACTTAATGTTAGGCACTGTGATGTCCTCTTCAGACGCAACGCTAGCCTGTCAGTGCTACTGTGTGTTTTTGCAGTTCTTTGAAGCAACCAGGTCGTTAACTGTATGAATGGTTCTTGCCTTACATTTACCTTGTACACTCACTAGGAAAGTGAACAATTTCCGCCCAGCGGACGTCCTTTGAAAATGAGTAATTTTCCCGCCAAAATTTTTGAGTGCCTGTACGTGAAAAAACAGGCGTGGCCGAACCGGGCTTTATTGCTGGCCAATCACGGGAGCTGGCTCGGCCACGCAATATGCGCTTGTTTATGGGTTTGGGTGAAATTTGCGATGCCGTTTTTTACGTGCGTGCTACGTTTTCTCGAGGCCTTTTTACTGGCATCTAGTTGCTTATTTAGCATCATAAGCCTTATAACTCCCCCGCGCCCGCGCCTTCCTCCCCTCCTTGCCTCCTCCCATTATTGCCGTTGTCTCTGGTTCCGCCAAGTAAGGTTTTAGCTCCTTTCGAACCATTATTCCGATTTCCTCCCTTCTGCTACGATCCCTGAATCGTTCTCACCCACCTCCACCATACCCCCGCCACCCACAGAATATGCCAAATCCATCGCAACTCGCCTTGGAGCCGAGGCGAGACGAGCCGAGTTTTGGTAATTGCCAAGAAGGGAGGAGCGGTGGATTTCAAAATTTTCTGTTAAATGTTTCATTAGGAATTTGTACTGCAGAATTTCTGGTAACCATCCTTATCCGGGAAAGGCCGAAGCCGAGTTTTCCTGAGAGGTCTGGGAAG